CTATGGCCAGGTTTTTGTTTCTGTTGCTGTTGCTTGCTAATTTTCCAGCCTATTTCTTGACTTTTATCTTTACATTCAATTTGAGCACTGCTCCCAGGGTGGAAGAATTCCTCTCTGAAGCTTAAGGTTTTTGTCCTGTCATTTTCTGAATTAGTTCTGGGAGTCTGTAAGTTTCAAGTTTTTCTGAGGTGGTATATTCTAAGAAGAGTCATGGTCACTGCTCTCTTCTTTGTACTCTTGACTGACCACTAAAGGATAATCATTTTCTCTTTTGCATGGAGGCTAGCACTTTTCACTTTCATGTTTGGGGCCCAAAAAGTCATTAATACCTCCTCAAGCAGCCACTTCCAGATTCCTAATCTTGGGAATAAAAATTGTAGTATTAAAAAGACAGAAATTGTTGCAATTATCTCTGGCTTCTACTCCTAGTGAGAATTCACTCTCTGTATCCATTGCTTACTCAGACAAGGAATATTACTGATAATTTTATATTAATGAAATGTAGAAAATCTTTCTTAAGTGGAATAAAGGCACACATTTTAATACCCATCTTTTCCCCTTCTTTGTTCTTATCTTTGGTTTGGGGTAAACTCAGAGAAGATGAAGAGAAAGAATTTTCACAGCCTCCCTAAGGACCAAAGAGATGAGAAGAATAGAGAAAGACTCTTTGACTCACCAGTCTGATCATTAAGTGGCATTTGAAGCATTTCTGCAGATTGGGGGGAAGGAATTATGATGTGTGGAGGCATGGTGTATGTGTATGTGTATTTACTCCTCTCTCATATCTTCCTGAGTGACTTTGTTTTTCTTTTCTTTGTTTTCTACATAATTTAATGCTGAGAGGTTTCCATCCTTCTTGGACTGAAGGCTCCTATAGAATTTGAGTTCACAGGATGTTAGTTATCCTTTCTCCAAACACTATGGAATCTGTTCTCGCCCTAATCTCAGATCTGTGTTAGCCTACAACCGGCTCTCTTCTCCTCTATCACAAATTCTAAGATTCCATGGTTAACTCTCAAATGGTCCTTTTATTTCCACCCCAGTAATCAGTTTCTGTTTGGTGAGAAAAAGGTCCAGAATTGACATTTCACTTTTTGAAACATGAAATTTTCATTCAGGTAAGTCAAGAACATTAGGAGTTATTTTTTGTTTTGAGGAGGTGGAGAGACAGATAGAGACAGGGTGTCAGAGATACAGAGAAAAGAGACAGAAAGTCAAGGAGACAAAGATACAAGATATGGAGGTAGAGATACAGAGAAACAGAGACAAAATCAGAGCAGAGAGATTGAACAAGAGAGACAAAGAGACAGAGAGAGAATAACTAACATATTTATAGAACTTACTATGTGTCAAGCACTGTGCTAAGTGCTTTACAATTATCTCATTTGATCCCCCAAAAAACAACCTTGGGAAGGGGGTGCTATTATTGTCCCCCATTTTACAGATGAGGAAAGTGAGTCAATCAGAAGTTAAGTAAATTGCCCAGGGTAACACAGCTAGTAAGTGTCAGAAGCTAGATTTGAATTAAAGTTTTCCTAAATCCCAGTCTGGCATGCCATCCACTGTGCCACCTAGCTGCCCCAAAAGAGGGAGAGAGAAAGAGAGATACATAGGCACAGAGACAAAGAGAGACAGAAAGAGAAAGACAGAGAAAGATAGAGACAAAAAGAGACAGAGAAAGAGGAGAAAAGATGGAGAGAGACAGACAGAGAATATTTCAGCAGATGTCCAGTTTTTGAAGTCTCTAATCACTATTATCTCATATCTCCTCTCCCAAACTCCTTGGTTGTTTCCTCTTTCCATCTAGGTAACTCCAATGATGAAATTGTTTCTATTTTCCCCTCTGTTGATCTTCATTCCAGTGGCTTCCCTTTTGCTTTTCCTCTTTCTGAAATTTCTTCACATGCTACTACTTTCCCTCCCCTACCCACTTATCTGTCCTTTGTCCTTTTCCTTTTGAATATTGTATACTCATTCCATTCATGGATCTCATCCTCCCATGTCTTGCTGATACAAAAAAGATCAAATTTCCCGCCTTCCAGGAGAATCAGAAATTCCCCTTGCTTGGTTCAAATACTTTGTGACCAAGTTTTTAGAGATCTGAGGCCATGAGATTGGTTTTGGGATCTTTCCATAGACTTGGCCTCCTGTCAATGTCAAGGTGTTTTTTGCTACTATTCTTCCCACAGTGTAGCTACTCATATACTGAAAATGTATATAAAAACCACATAGGTAGTTTTCTTTTCCCCCTTTTCCTTTTCATTTTAAAGCCCTTTTTAAGAAGATTTCAAAGACTCCAGTCATATACACCCTTACCAGCCTGTGTGAGGTGAATGTTATCCCTAAACCAGGAGCTTGTCATTCTTCAAGTTTAAACCATAATCCAGAAATCCAAAATCTTTCTTCATTTGCACAAAATCTTCTATTTTGCCCACTTCAGTTATATGAGATAAAGCACCCCCAATCAGTCTCTCACTTTTTCCCTAGAGTATTCCTATTTCCTTCTTTTTTCTTTCTTCTTTGGTGGTCATCAATACATAACAAAAACACTTTCAAGTCCTCCATTTATTTAATAGCCTCTATGACCTTTGAGGGCATTAGGAGTTTGAGGAGACTTATATCATCTTTTCCTTTTAGCATGTAAATTATTATTCATCCTTCCTTTTTGAAGATGACCAATGACATCTTGGGGTGATGTCTTGACTTGTTCATGAATTGTATTTAAATGAAGGTGTCAGCTTCACTCTCTCTTTCAGCAAAAGTTTGGGGTAAGATAAAAGTCAGGAAGACTAGTGATGGCGCAGGATACATTAAATGGCCTTGGCAGCTTTGATGTCTGACTAAGATCCAGCTGCCTTCATGGCCATGGGAATATATTGTTTTCATCCCCTCATTCCACAAGGGGAAGTCTTCATACGCTTTGGGTAGACATCCCCCTAAGTCACAAATAGGTTTGAGGCCTGTCAGTTACCCTCAACTTGATTTAGCTGGTCTGCCAAGATGGTTTTACCAGGATTTGGCCATTGTACATGCTACAGTTTCTTGGGGCTACAGGTTAGAGATGTAAATACTGTATCTTTGTATAGTCCCTTCTGATTACTCACTGTTATTTATCTTTGAACCTAGGTATATAGGTGTTTAGATCACTGGGCTTGGAATCAGGAAGACTCCTTCTGAGTTTAAATTTGACCTCAGACACTTTCTAGCTGTGTGACCCTGGGTAAGTCAAACCCCGTTTGACTCAGTTCCTCATCTGGTAAATGAGCTGGAGAAGGAAATGGCAGACTGCTCCAGGATCTTTGCCAAGAAAAGCCCAAAAGAAGTCATGAAGAGGTGAGAAAGTGACCAATAGGTAGATAGTTTTTCTAGGAGTTTGGCCATGAAAAGGAAGAAAGAGCAATGAAGGCAATATAATTGAGGCTGAACAGAGCATATAAAGGGATTCCCAGGTGACTTTGCTACTGGCCATGTGTGACTCAGCTCTCTTGCACCTTTAAGATGAAAAGCCAGTCATGCAGGACTCAGATGTCCTGAGCCCCCCAGAAGTTGAAGCAAACCTGTTGTTAACTCAGCAGATATTCAAAAAGGCATACTTTATCCTTTCAGAGTTACAAGAGTTCTGAGTAAAATATAGATAGTAAGAGTCAGTCAGGGAATCTCTGGGAATGAGATGGGTTTTTTGTGTTTAGTTTTGTTTTAAGGATGAGGGAGAAGTGCATTTTATTGTAAGCAGGAGGATAGGAATCAATGGATTTAAGAAAATTGAAAATTAGGAAAAGACAGGGGAGGTTAGAGGGTGCAATGTCTCAGAAGAGAGACGGAGAGGTGAGATCAAGGGCCCAAGTAGTGGGGTTAGTGGTTACAAAAAGAAATGCTACCTTCTTTTTTTTCTCTCCACCTCCTCTTCCATATTGGAATAAAAGAAAGGAAGAGTGTGTGATGATGGAGAGGTGATTTAGAATAAAGAATTTTAGAAAAGGAATAAATTAGCAATACATAATCTCAATTTTTCTCAGTGTTGTATTAAGTTCAGTGTTGTGGTGAGAGGGAAGGAGTGAGGTGATAGGAGAGGCCTCAGTAAAGAAGAGAAATCTTAGAATAGATGCTGAAGGGAGAAAGTAGTCAGTTGGGGAAGAGATCTGTGTTCAGTAGCAAGATTATAGTAACAGAGAAGGCAAGTGGTAGGAATAATTTCTTGCTAGAATTCAATAAAGAAATGCATGTCCCCATAGGACAAGGGGATGTGGGATTTGAAAGTGGAGAGCAAGTTAAGTTGGAACTGGCTCACTATGGGGTCAAGATGCTGAAAGGAGGAAAGTGAAATGAGAAATGGAGTGAGGACCTAAAGTGTGATGAATGGACCTTTCCCACTGATCAAAGTATCGTAGATGGAGACTCATTAGGGAATTCTGAGCCTATGTAGTCCAATCCATTCATTGTAGAGATGAAGAATCTGATGTGAGAACAAATGTGAAGTGACTTGCCTAAGGTCACACAAGTTGTTATCATTAGGGGCAGGATTGATCTCAGGTCCTCTGCCCCCAAAGTCAGGAATCCGTCCATGTTACCACATTGTCTTTGAAGTCATGAATCCTCGATGTACGGAAGTACAAGCACATGTTTGCATATCAGGAGTTATTAGCAACATAGCCCTGCTCATTGTACCCCAAATTCACAAACAAGAGCTATATAATACAAAATAAGATCATCTGTGAGGAAACATGAAAAGAAAAGTACGAACAAATGTGGTTTGGAGGGAGGATATTTTACAGATCTTCCTCCACACCCTAAATCTAGAATTGAGGATTTGGCTGGAGGTATCCATAAGAGGGTTGTACATGAATGTCTATAGTGCAGCTGCTATCACATAATGACATACAAGATACTCAACAAGACTGTCGTGTCTCTGAAATTTAAAACTCATTTTAATCAAGAGGTGGGAATTTTTCTTTCCCTCAAAGGGATTCTAGAAAAAAAATGAGAGTATTGAGTACAGAAGATGAAACCAACTTGCTAATTTACCAAATCAACTTTGTGTTCTTCCTTAGAGAGGAACAAAGCATAGTTGGTAATATGGTGGGATACTGGTGAACCCAACGTAATTGGACTTGAGGTTAATTTCATTTGGATCTCCAACGGGTTTGAGAGTGAAGCTCTGTAGAATGGTGGTAAGGAACAAAAACAACTCCATCCTCGCCAGACCTTCTCCAAGACAAGACCGTTTTCCTAGAAAGAAATACAATTGTGCTTAGTAATCTTCATGGAATATCACATTCAGCCAGAGTGAAACAGACTTGCTGAACCAGGACAATAATGGGAAAAGAAGTAAAAGAGAAATATGTAGATGGGCCGAACTGGTGAAAACTATTATTGTGAGTTATAGTTCAATCATTAATGGTCACAAGAGGCAGGAAGGAATTCCTTCTTCACACCATTCTTCTCACAGTAAGCCACTGTGTAGTGGATCTTGCAATGGAGTCAGAATTCCACTAAAATAACAGGGCAGGTGAACCAGCCAAGAGGCTCAGCTCATCTATTGCAGGATCTGAGAAAAAGCCAGGTCATGGGAATACTGGAAAAGATAGTATGTGACATGTCAAAGTGGGCTATGTGTCTTAAGAAGAACTGCCAGGAGGAGGCTCAGCCAGAGGAGAGTGGGAGTGAGAATAGGATTCTCATTTTAGAGTGAGAGGTAGAAATGAGAAGGGTTTCTTTTTACCAGTAGAAAAAGGCATGAAGTGGTCACTTTTCTTGAATTTCCCATTCTTATCCAGGAAGTGCTGGGGGTCAAACTGGTCAGGGTTGGGAAACTCTTTGCTGTCCCACAAGACTGGGGAGAGCAATGGGTAGATTGTTGTGCCCTAAAGGGAAGAAATTCCAGAGGAGAGTCAGGTATCATTATGAATATCCTTTGTATTCTAGCCCCAAGAATCTTCAATGACTCACTATTTTCTCTAGTACAAAATGCATACTTTTTTGCATGTGGTGTCAACTGAGATGTCAAGCCATTAAGAATCTGCTTAAGCCCCAGTCTAGCTTTCCAGATTGATGTCCCCATTATTGTACCCATCATGCCCTCCTTAGGGCTCCAGCTAAAGTGGTCCAGCTGCTGTTCACCATCCACAATGCTCCCTATATGGTCTTCATGCCTTTATAATGGCCATGTCCCACACCTGGAAGGCACTCCTTGCTCACTTCAGCCTTTTAGATTCCCCAGCTTTCTTCAGGGATTGGCTTGGGCACCCCCTTCTGCAGAAAACCTTGGCTAAGGTGCTAAGCTCTTTGTGCTCTCCTTACCCTCAGTTCTTTGGTCTATACTTCATGTCTACACCTGCTGTCTGTGGGACTCTGGGCAGGACTGTGAATGGTCAGAGCCCCAGGCAATACTTAAAGACTCTAGGGGCAGACCAGGCTTCCTCCTGAGGGAATTTCTTCAGCAGGAAGCCACTTTACCAATCAAATCACAGCTTGGGTCTGAGGAAAGAAATAATACTTGGGGCTGACTTTTCTGGTTCCTAATTGTGCTCCCTCCAGGAGAAGACAAAGCCTTCAATGGTCAAAAACCCTTCTATTCTTGCCTTGTTTCAATAGCACTTGGCCTAGTAATTTTCACATAGTAGGTTCTTACTGAGGCCTTGATGATTTGAACTGAACGATGCCTCAGTGGGGTACGTTAAATGTGAAATTAGTTGTGATACTCCCTTCATTTTTCTTTGAGGGAGAATAGTTGTGCTCAGCCATTGTTAAGAAACTTCAATCTAATTCAGTGTAATTCATTCAATGTTTATTTAGTAACCCCAGAGTATTTTAAAGTGTAAAGACCTAGATTCCAGTCTCAGCTCCAACACTTAAATGATCTTAGGCAAGTCATTACACCTGAGATTCAGTGTCGCTTTCTACCCAATAGAACAGATTATAGCATTTATGCAATCCACTTCACTGCCTAGTAAGAGAAAACAACATAAAAAATTTTTCTCTTGAGCAATCTCACCCTGTTACTTTCCCTGTACATTTTCTTTCCAGAGCATTACTGTGGTGAATGAGAAGCAGGGAAAGTGCACACTTCTTTCTTATTCTTCCTTTAGCACCACCCAAGTAAGCTGTGTGTAATAACAGACTGCCTCAAGGAGAACTTTAAGGGAGTTCATGACAATGGGACTCCATTTTCTCATGTCTATAATGAAATCATTGGACCAAATAATATTTAAGATCCCATTCCCCCATGACTACTGACTTTGGGGAGGATATATTGTTGGAAATGGATGTCCCGGTTCACCGCATGGGGTAAGTTGAGAGGGATGAGGTCAATGAATCTTTGCACTTCGTGCACCACAGCATCCACGTAGGGCATATCTTGTCTGTCCTTTATGGAAGGAACTCGATTATGTCCAATCACACGTTGAATTTCCTCATGAATTTTTGCTGCAGAGACAAAAAATACAGATCACCACTGAATGTCCCAGTCTCCTGGGAATGCTCAGCTGAGCCTGCGTGAAGACCTATGCCTGATGTTATGACCTAAGATGATTCTCAGATGGGCTCAGTGTCCTCCTTCTACTCAGTCGAGGGTCTAAAGGCTTTTGTAGTAGAAATAGGATAATCTTCTATGATTTACTGGATAGGAGTCAGAAAGAATTGTGTTTACATTTCTCTTTAGACACTATCTGTGTAGATTCAGGCAAGTCATTAAATCTATATAAGCCTCATTTTCCTTATCTGAAAAATGAGTATCATAAATTATCCATCTTCTAAGGTTCCCTACACCTCCAAATCTATTATCCTATGATTTATAAAATGGAGATAAAAACAGCACCTCTCTCAGCAGGCATCAAATGAAATTATATGTCAAGTGATTTATAAACTTCACATTCTTTATGTTTATGCCAGCTCTTACTGTCAAAGAAAGTAGATACCTTCATTTGAATTTGATAGTGCTGGTGATGGCATTATCATCTTGATTTAAACCATTCACCAGCTATGTATCTCAGCTGCTGTCTCAATACCCTAAATTGCTGAGGCATAGAATCTCAGCCTTACAAATGACCCATTTTCACCTAGGGCCATCCATAGTTGAACAGAAATCCTGATTCTAATGGAATGAACAAATGGTCACCCAGTCTTTGCTTGAGAATCTCTAGTAAGCAAGAACTCACTATGCCCTGTGCAGCTGAATGGACTTTTGGAGAATTTTAATAGTTGACAAGTCTTTCCTTACATGACGCCTCCATTTGTCAATTTGTAACTTCTACCTATGGTTCCTAGTTTTGCCTCCTTAGATCCAGCAGAACTAGCCCTGGTAGAGTGTAAGACATTTGAGGAAAGGGGTGTTTCATTTGAGTCTTTGTATGCTAAGCATAGAACTGAGGGTGCACAGTGGGAGCGTTATGTGTGTTTGTTAAAGTGAATTGAATTCCACATGACACACCTCCACATAGTTAAATAACTAACAGGTCTTGTTCTAGTGTCCTGTTTTCCTAAATATGCTACCGTCTGACCTGTTGCTGATCTGTGTGGAAGTCATGCAAATCCAAAAGGTGGAAACAAGAGGCCAGCTCCTGAGCTCGTACAGTGCTGGGAAAGCAAGCCTGGCCTGTAAGCATGGCAGTTCTTGTACTTTACCTTGGACCTCAGGATGTTTCAGAATGAGCAACAGACCATATCTTAGCGTGCTGCTGGTTGTCTCTGTTCCTGCAGCAAATAAATCTGCTGCTGTCATTTTTAGATTCTCCAAGTCAAATTCAGACTGGGGATTATCTTTCTCCTAAAGGAGAGATACAAAATAGATGAAGTAATGAGAGACAGCAGGGAAAGCCATTAGTAACCATGTGAAGTACATTAAGTTTGTCCTAGGAGCCCTCCCCCACCTTCCTTTCCTTACTCTAAGAGAGAAGAACCTTCCTAGTACCCTTAGGTTTCCCCTGCCCAACCATAGGCTTACCTTTCCCAGGCAACCTTCTTCTCCTCCAGAAATATGATGTAGTGGAATGAGCACTAGGCTTCGAATTAGGAAGATCTGAATTAAACTTTATTCTCAGCTAAGGGGTATGTGTCCATGGGAAAGTCACTTAATTTCTCTGGGCCTCAGTTTCCTCATATGTAACAGGAGAGAGCTGGATCCCTTTCAGCTCTCTATTTATTGTCTATGATATATATGGCATGGTGAGGACCTGATAAAGTAATTCACTTAAAAAGTTAATAACCTGCTAAGAGACCTCTCATGCTGATATTTTTTACCACAGAGTAGGATAGCATTTTAGTTGAAAAAAACAACAAGAAGGAATTTCAGATTTTCAGAACAGGGAATTGAGAGAAAAGTCTTGGGGCAGAATACAGAATTTCAAATTTTGTAGGGAAAATGAAATTCAATCAGCCAACCTGTGACTGATCAGAAGTTTCCTTTTCAAAATCTTCCTTAAGTGATCAGCCAGCTCCAGCTCGAAGACTTCCATAGATGGGGAATTTATTACTTAATGAAGAAATTCATTATAATCTCAGACATTACCCCCTTGTGTGGACATTAAATGTGTCTCTGTAATTTCAAATGACTGTTATGAGTTCTGTCTTCTGGGAATGAGGAAGCAAAGGAATTCTTACCCTTTTCTGGGACAGTCCTTAAAATTAGGTGACTGCTAAGGTTCCTTCCAACACACAAATTCTGTGAAATTCTATGAAATATGCAAGCTCCTAGGATTTATAACTAGGATGCATCTTGGAGATCAATTGGCCTGACACATTCATTTTAAAGAAAAAGTAATTGAGGCCTACAGAGTTGAAACAATAATATTAAAATCCAAGCAGATTGAGTTATAGTACTAAATAAGTAATCCTGCAAATATGAGCTTCATCCTGAACAAAATAAGATGGACTTATAGCCATCAATATTGTAAAAATGAACAATTTTGATAGATTTATGAACTCATATCAATTCAATTATCAAACATGAGCACAAAAGACTAGTGATGAAGAATGGTACCAGCCTTTTGAGAGAGAGTTGATGGATTAGTATATAGAAAGGAACACATCTTTGGACATGGCCAATATAGAAATGTATTTCTCTTGACTGTGCTTATTTGTTAAGAAGGTTATTATTTATCTTTTTTTATTGGGTGGGGAAAATAAATATTTGATAAAAGAAGATGGACTTATAGAAAAAAGGGTGGATTTCAGGCATTTCCTAAAAAAAGAAACTCAAGATGAGTCAGGTATTTGACCTGGAAAACTTCAAACCAGACAAGCATAAGGTAAATACATTAATGAGAAAAGATAAAGCAATGGAATCAATACTCTTACGCTTTTATGTCAATTTAACACTATTTTTTAAAAATCTCCCATTGGCTCAGGGCCCCTGGAAAAAAATTAAAATTATAGAGGCAATAGAAACAGAGTGGCAATATATCCAGGGAGGGGATTAAAAAATTCTTAAGGATACCTTCATTTCAACCTGGAAGAAAGTCTGTAGTGAACAGTTCAATGACGTATGCTTGGTTCTGCAGTGTTTAACATTTTTGTCAGTACATTAAATCAGTCAATCAACAAATAAGTATAAAATATATTTTATGTACCAAGCAGAGTGCTAGGTAATAGTGATATAAAAGCAAAGGATAAAAATAAGACAGTCCCTACCCTCTGAGAGTTTACATTCTACTGAAGGAATACAATACATATAAATGTAAGTACATATGGGATTCATGTAAAATAAATGCACAGAGATTTGGGGTGGGATATTAACAACAGGAGGAATTAGAGAAGGCTACTTGAAAGAGGTAGCAGCTAAGTGTGAAAGGATATTAGGGCTGCTAAGAGTTGGGGAAAGAGAGTGAGAGCATTCCAGGCACGGGGGCCAGTCTATATAAAGGTAAAGAGGCAAAAGATGGAATATTGTGTACAGAGAAGAACAAGCGGGCCAGTTTGGCTGGAGCATAGAGGGAAGGTGTGAGAGGGAACAATGTGTACCCAGCCTAGAAAGGGAGGCTGGAGCCAGATTGTGAAGGGCTTTAAATGCCAAACAAATGAGTTTGTGTTTTGTCTTAGCAGCCCTGAAGCTTCACATCATGGGAATAACCCAGTGAGCCTCGCACTTTATGCATGTTAACTTGGCAGATTTGTGAAGAATGGATTGAGGGTCTGGATGCTTGGAGAACTGTTAGGAGAGAATTGTCACTGTTTGGGTGAGAGACAGTAGTGACCTGAACTAGAGTGGTTGTGGTGTCAATACAGAAAAGAAAGATGTAAGGATACTGCCATGATGGAGTTGGAGGGGAGAGGACACATTTACTCTCCCCTCCCCACCTCCAGCCCCAAATTATCATGAGTTACTTGGACAATTAAGATCCTGTTCAACATCGTTTAATGCTCCCCAAACTGGTTTTCCTTCTAGGGAATGTTTAATTCATTGATTCCAGGGGTGGGGAGCCTGCAGGCTTCAGGCCACATGTAGCCTTCTAGATCCTTAAGTGTGGCCTTTTGATTGAATTCAAATTTCAAGTTTGTTCTGTAAAATTTGGCTTCAGTCAAAAGGCTGCCCTTTAGGATCTAGAAGGCCACATGTGGCCTGAGGGCCGCAGATTCCCCACCCCTGATTTAGAATGTAAAAGAAGGAAGGAAATAAGCATTTATGAAGCATCTACAATATGCTAAGCATTTTACAAATAGTACCTCATTTGATCATTACAATGACCATAGGAAGTAGATATTATTATATCCATCTTACAGCTGAAGAAATGGAGGCAGACAGAGGTTAAGTGACTTGCTCAGAGTTATACTATACACTATCCTATCCTATCCTATCCTACCCTATCCTATCCTATGCTATACTACACTATACTATACTATACTATACTGTACTATACTATACTATACTATGTCTGACTCCAGATTTGAACTCAAGTCTTTTGGACTTCAGGCTCAGCACTCTATCCATACCACCACCTAGCTTCCTGTGTCAGTCTGAGTGGAACTATATAGGACTAGAGGACAGTTAAAGATTGACTAGAATGTTGGGTTGATATCCTGATGATAGCTCTGAGTTGGGGAGAGTATGGAATACTATAAGTGCTTTATTTGTTTTCTGAATTGGTTTGTGGATTTCTGGGAGGCTTTTGTATCATGTTCATTTTTCTGTGGGGCAAAATTAAGGCTGTTCTCTTCCTGAAATTAATTAATTTTGAGTGATTTTATGAGAGCAAGTTATAGCTAGAATTTATAATAATAGCTAGTATTTATATAATGTTTTAAGGTTAACCACTTCCTTTAGAAACATATTTTACCTTCCTGACAATTCTGGGAGATAAATGCTATTATCCCCATTTTACAAATGAGGAATGTGACTTGTCCAGGATTACACAGCTAAGAGGGGTCTGAATTTGGCTTTGAACTCAAGTCTTTTTGACTCCAAGCCCTGCTCTGCACCCCATTTCTCCTGTTGAGAGTTTACTTTGTATGTATTTGTTTACATACAATCTCCCCCATAAGATTGTGAACTCCTTGAGGGCAGGGGCTGTCTTTTGCCTCTTTTGTGTCTTTGGCACTTAACAGAGTGCCTGGCATATAGCAGTTGCTTGGCAAATGTTTAGCAGTTGGTTCCTGTTATCATTCTCCAAGACAATATCCCCTTCCAAACAGGAAAGTCCAGATCACCAGCTCATCACTCACCACAGCAGAACTCTTCCAATCTCATTTCCCATACAGAGTTCAGATAAAGGATATGAGCAGACCAAACAAAGACCAGTTACTAGAAAGCCAGTGGCATCTTTGGGGGATGTGGGTACTTTGAGGTTCTCTCTGATATCCCTTCCTGTGCTTTGAAGAAAGTGGCCTGTAAGAATCCTTGGAATATCAGCCTTACTCAACAAGTAAGGGGCTTCCCCCATGCATCTTACCTGCTGCATTTTGGAGAGGTAGCAGTCAATGTAGTCCTGAGGGTTGCTAGGGTCCAGTACCTTCTGATGCTCCTTCACTCTTTCCAAAATGAAACCTTTAATTTCATCAAGATTTTTAAAAATTCTTTTATGGTCTCCAGGGAGGTATGCTCTGAATGCTGGTAAAAAGTTGTAGAGCTGCATTCACACACCCCAAACCCAAACAAACACATGTGAGTTTACTGTCATGAAGAAACTATTTAAAATCTCTAATTATAAACTATTGTGTTTTATTCAAAGGCATTGCATTTCTTTTTAAAATTTAATTAAATTTTTCATTGACAAAGTGTATTTTCTCTCTCATCTTCACTGCACATTGGTACAAAGAAAAAAGAAAAACAAAACCATCGAAACAAATACACGTAATCAAGCAAAACAAATCCCCACCTTGGCAAGAGCCAAAAATGTATGTCCCAGTCTACGTCTTGAATCTATTCCTTTCTCTCTCATGAGGTGGGCAGTATGGTTCATTGTGCTTCCTCTGAAATCATCGTGGGTCCTTGCACTGTTACTTTAGACTTGCATGGTATTTGTCCTTCCATTGTTTTTGTTACTGTACAAATTGATTATGCTCTCTTTATTGTAGTTGTTCAGTTGTTTCAGTCATATCTGACTCTTTGTGACCCCATTTGGGATTTTCTTGGCAAAGATATTGGAGCGGTTTATCATTTCCTCCTCCAGCTCATTTTACAGAGACATAAAGGGTTAGGTGACTTGCTCAGGATCACACAGCTAGTCTGAGGCCAAATTTGAACTCATGAAGATGTATTCCTGATTTTAGGCCTGGTAGTCTGTCCACTATATTCCCCATTGAAATGACTTTCCAAGGGTCGTACAACTGTTAAGTGTGTGAGGTAGATCTCAAACTCATTCTTCCTGACTCAAATTCTAGCCCTCTCTTCATTAAATTCCTTTCTGTCTCTAACTCTTTGGATCTTGTGATCCCTCAGTCCAAGGAGCCGTTAAAGGAATAGCCTTCTTAGACACTTGGTAGTTAAGTAGTGAGCAGCTCCGCACAAATCCCAAGAGTTTCATGAATCCTCTCAAATCTAACCCTAAGTTGGCAAATATCTCAAAACTAACCTATCTGGTGTTGTGCTACCCACTGAGGGGAAACAAATGGCATAATATTATGTTGTTGTTCAAAAGAGGCTGATATTTGACTTAAGGGGAAATCTACTTATCTTGGAATAACCAACATAAAAAAAAAGAAGACAAAGAGACACCAAGGTATCAGATTAATTCAATTCAATTCACATTAAGTTAATAAAATGCACCAAGCATTTTTTCAGTACTCACTATGAACCAAGTCCTGAGCTAGGCTATGGTGATATAGACAACAATGAGGCAGTCTTCATCCTCAAAAAACTTACATTCTACCAGAGAAGGGTTGAGCTAGAGTACACATTCCAGACTGCAAGCAAAACAGAATATAGGCAAAGGAAAAGAAAGCTTGTTTTTTGAATGGATGAGGATCTTTAGTTCTGGCTTCAGTGGATGAAGGTTTTGATCCTACATGTCCATCCATTGTAGAAACAGAGCCAGATCACCACCAGAATCAGTGTAGGCTATTGATCTAAGTGGCTTGTCCTCCCTATTCTCTCCTGAATGGCCTGGGCAGGTTCTTTTTTGATAACTATTTTACTTGGCCACATCTGTGAACACTATCCTCCGGATATCCCAGGCCCCAATCAGATACTTCTCCATATCACTTAAATTTTAATGATCTAGAACTGGTTCAGGTGCCAGCTAGGAACAGAATATCTACCTAATATCTTACTTGAGAGCCAAAGATATTGCATGATGTTATTGTCCTTGAGTGGCATGTGTGTGTGAATGTGTGTGTGTGTTCTCACGGGTGTTGGGACCTTTGCTAAGGGATGAGAGGCTATGGTATACTGATCTTGTTGCTGAAACTCAGCAAACAACCACAGAATAAGAAGACAGCTCTGGCCTTACCTGTGTCCATGGTCTGTTAAACAGGCGGAAGTTTTCATTTAACAAGTTCATCAGATAGAGAAATTTCTCATCTTTGTACTTGAATCGATCACGGAAGAGGATAGAGCAGATCACGTTGCATGGGGCACAGCTAAGGATGAAGGTGGGATCAGTGGGCTGACCTAATGTGGAGACAAGTTATCAAAGGGAGGAAAAATTAACTTTAATAGAAATGTTTCCAATCAGGTGGGATATGGGCATCTCTTCTGTTCATATTTGGATATGGTGCTTAGTTCCCTAAAGGCTAATGAATATTATTCTCCTGGACAATGTCTTTACTTATAGGGAGGCTAGATAAGCTTATGATGCCTGAGCACAAGAAAAAAGAAGGGAGTTCTCTGGCCCAGCGGAGTTATTACCTGGTAAGTAGATGAAGGCAGAGACTTTTAAAATGATTCCAAAACAAATAGCATTTAGGACTGGGAATGGGTGGGCAGTTGGACCCCACATGCCCAGGAGGTAAGAACTGAAAACCAACCCTTTGTTTTCCTGAGCTCCTCCACCAGGCATTGGGCTTCTTCTTGAACTCTCTCTTCAATGCTTCTCTTCCCCATCCCAAAGTTCCTTAGGGTCATGAGGGAAAATCTTCGGATTTGTTTCCATCTCTCTCCACGACTGAAAATAACTCCTAGAAAAAAGGAAAAGAATAGGCCATTGGTCATTCTAACATTGGAGGTGGGGGAATGGATGATGGCTCTGGAGTTTCTGGCTTAGTTCATTGATCAAGTTTAATTTCATTCAATTCAAACTAAAATACAATGACAGCATGATAGTTACCAGGCACCTACTACGTGAAGGTCTTGTGCTAGGTACTGAGAATAGAACAATTAAAATGAAACTAATAACTATGCTCCAGAGGAGTACATTCTACTGGATATACTTTGTCATACATTTTGCTTTTCTGTGACTCTTTTAAGCAAACTAAACTTACCTCGTCCTCCAGCAAAATCTTCAAATATTGGTATGTCTCCTCTATCCATAAAAATCTCTCCTTGATCAATTAGAGCTTCCTTCATAATGTTATATCCATGTATCACCACTATACGCTGGGTTCCAAAATAAAGAGTATAGATGTCGCCATATTTTTTAGCCAGCTGGGAAAATGCCAAGAAACAGGATGAATTCAGTGTGAAACTTTAGAAAGTGGGAATTTATCCTCACAACTGCTTCATAACATGCAATATGCAAAGGGTACATGTGCGTATCTATGTATGCATAAGACTATTACACTTTCTAACTGGGTGATCATATCACCTATGGCTTCAATGATCATTTATCAGCAGAAGATTCCCACATTCATATGACTAGATATTATCACTTTTGAACTCCACATAGCCAACTGCTTAGAAATGGATTTCTCAACCTGGATGTCCTATTGGCATTGCAAACTTAATATGTCCACAATACAACTCGTTGGTTTTCCCCTAAAACTACCCTTTCCTCCAAACTTACCCATTTCCCTTAAGGGAACCCAAGAGGCAGACTTCTCTTGGAGGAAACTACGTCAACCCTGATTTAAGGATTTAAGGCCATGGATTCATATTTGACTTTTCATTCTTACTTATGTCCAATTAGCTACGGTCAAGTCTGGTAGATTCTATCTTCATGTCTCCCACACCTATTCCATCTTGCCTCCTCACTTGTCCATTAATCCAATTAAGACCTTCATCCCCCTCCCCTTGCTTAGACTACTGTAATAGACTTGTGAGACAGGCACTTAAGCTAATCAACCTAATAAATCACCATGAGAGAAAGAGAAGAAGGAACGGGACAGAAAAATCAAACTACCTCCAAGTTCCCTTGGAAAATGATTGAAATGGCCCAGGACCATTACTCAAGAGCCTTTGTAATTGACCTTTTCATGTCAATGACTCCTGCCCCTAGACCCTAGGCTCTGCTTTCAGTCCAGGCCAAACTCCTTTCAATGAGAAGCAATCACTGTAGAGAAGGGCCCCAGCTTCCTCACCACCACCAACACCAGTTACTAAACAACTGACTCTGGCAGGTACAGAAGCCCAAGATTCCTGGAAGCGGCAGACCAGCCCTGCAAACCACTATTCCTACTTCTATCCCAGCCTCCCCCAACATCAGCCCTGGAAGCAACCACCAGAAACTACTGAAGACTAGAAAAGTCCCACCACCAAAGTCCCAGGCACCATCCAATGATTCAATATTAGAAAAGATCTTATTTTTATCAGTGGAAATAACATTAAATGTGTTGCATTACCACTCATTCTGTTAATTTGCCCTAAGAAGCACAAGGCCTTTCCAACTGACATGCATCTTAAATCTCTTACTCTGTATTGTCTCCACAATAGTGAGCACATAGTAGGTACTTAATAAATGATATTTTATCCGTTCTTTTAATGGCTTCCAAGTTCAATCCTCTGCTTCTAGTATTTCTCCTTTGCAATGAATAATCTGCACAACTAACAGCTTAATATTCCTGTGGCACAGTTCTGACCGCATCATTCCTCTACTCAAAAGTCTGTAGGGGCTCCCTACTGCCTCCCTAATTTGGCACTTAAATGCCTCCACAGTTGGCTCCAACCCAATTGTCTAAATTGATTTTGTATTACCCCTCATCCCATACTTCACATTCTTGCCATATCCCCTCTTAGCTATATTATCTCCCAACTCCTTGCCTTTGCCCAGATTGTCTGCCATGCCTGGAATTTATTCCCATTCTTTCTTCCAATAAGAATCTGTTACTTCCCTCAAGGTCCAGCTCAGTTGTTCTCTCCTACTTGAAACTTTTTGGGTACCCCAATTACAAGTGTTTTCTCTGTCCCCTAATTTTCTTCTACTTATCTATAAATTTTTTGTATCCCTCTAGTAGAACATAAGCTCCTAGAGGACAGGAACTACTTTTTTTTCAAGGAGAGTTAGTTGCATTAACCATATGTTTCTCTCCTGTATCTGGCACAGTGCCTGGCATGTGGAAGGTAATGAATAAGTTCTCATTAATTGAATGATTTGTTTTTGTTTTTGTATTCACAGAGCCTAGTTTGATGCATTGCAAAAGGCAAATATTTGGTCCTGTAATTGAATTTCTTCTTCTGCTACCTGTTTTGACAAAACAACCAATGCATGCCTAACATCATTGCTAATGGAGATATCACTCATAGAGCCCTTGACTCACACCATCCATGACATAGGATTCTAGATCACCATGAGTCTTGATTCAATTATCCATTTGAAGTCTTTGTGTCTCCTCCTACAACCCAAGCAGCCAGATCCAAACCCCAAATGCAGTCCTTTTACCTGCGATAATGATGCACTCATGTTCTTCATATCCAATTGCAAGATGTTGCCAATAAAGGGAAGAGGAGTGGGACCTGGTGGGAGCTTCCCTCTTTTGAATCCTTGGCTCCATAGAGACAAAAAGATCAGCAAAAGAACACAAGTCAGGAGGGCAGTAGTGGTGAGTCCCCAAGGATCCATTCCTAACAGATGGTCCTACAGCTCTCAGAGGCACCAGCTCAGATGGCAGACTTTTATCATCATTGGTAGAAAACAAGGGGTGGGAATGTCCAGCCAATAAACATATAGTCCTTGTAGGCAAACAGGATATTTTTTCCATTAACTTTGATTAGTTTAGCAATCAAGAGGTTATTAAGGAAATGTCTACCAATTTGTTGTTTTGGAATCTGTCCCTGACCCTAAACTGGCACTAAATTACAGAAGAAGAATGGGAGTAGGGAAGGATTTTGTCCAGCTCATGTTGTTGGAGGTCATGGACTGTCATCAATCAAATTTCTGTTGGCCTCTGAGTGTGTGTTTAGCTAAGGAGATCAAATATCCAAATTCAACCAGAGAGGAGGTGGTGGTGGATATCAGATTGTCAGATCCTGTAGGCTTGACCTCATATTAAAGAGATCAGATGTTATTTCTTATCTCCTAAACTGTATTGGGCTTAATTGTCTTCTTAACCATGCTTGTTCTTTCTCTACTTTGAAGAACATTCTTCTTGAGAGAGAAGATGGCAGCAAAATAGGCATTAATATGCCTTGCCAAGGTAGAGCCAAGATGGTGGAGTATAGGCAGGGACTCACCTGAGCTCTCCCCCAAACACCTCCAAATACCTTTTTTAAAATGACTCTAAACAAATTCTAGAGCAACAGAACCCACAAAAAGACAGAGTGAAATGAATTTCCAGCCTAAGACAACTTGGAAGTTTGGCAGGAAAGGTCTATTGCACCAGGGTGAGAGAGGAGTGCAGCACAATGTAGGCCACACCAGCCCAGACCCAGACCCAGCAAACCAGGATTTTGCCTTGAGATGCCTTGGAAGTGATTAAATCAGTGGCAGCAGTGGCAGTGGCTGCTTCCAGAGCTCAGCACAGACAGTAAGAATTGGCGGGTGTCAAACAACTGGTCAGAAGGAGATTACAGGGGTCTTTTTGCTAGCACCGGGGCAGAATTCTGTTGTTTTTCTTCCTTACTCGGATCCAGGTCTCGGTCCTGGGTGGCAGTCCCAGGTGAGGAGAAGCACTAGCATAACAGAGCTTGTGGCCACAGTGGACAGGGAACTCTCCTCACAGTTCCAGGGCAGAAAAGAGTGCTAGTGGATGTTCACAGACCAGAGCACAGGCCAGGAAAGTAGTAAACTCCTTTCCTTAGATCATACCACCTCAGAAGAACTGAAAACTTACAGGTCCTTAGAAGTATCTCTGAAAACAGCTGCACAAAACCCCTGAAACTCGGGACAGTTCACCGTCCACCCTGGAAGCAGAGCCCTACTTGAACAAAGAGTTAAAAGTCAACTAATAGGCTGGGAAAATGAGCAAGCAATTGAAAAAACTCTGACTATAGAAAGTTACTATGTGACAAGGAAGATCAAAACACGAGCTCAGCATAAGACAACAAAGTCAAAGACCTTACATTCAAGCCTCCAAGAAAAAAATCTGAATTGGTCTCAGGCCATGGAACAGCTCAGAAAGGATTTTGAAAATCAAGTAAGAGGGTAGAGGAAAAATTGAGAGGAAAAATGAGAGTGATGTAAGAAAATCTTGAAAAACAAGTCAACAGCTTAGTAAAGGAGATACAAAAAAAAAATATTGAAGGCCAAATGGTAAAAGAGGTACACAAAAGCCAATGAGGAGAATGATTTAAAAAGCAGAATTGGACAATGGAAAAGGAGGTCCAAAAGCTTGCTGAAGAAATTAATTCCTTAAAAATTAGAATAGAGCAAATGGAAGCTAATGACTTTATGAGAAATCAAAAAACAATAAAGCAAAATCAAAAGAATGAAAAAAATAGAAGACAATGTGAAATATCTCATTGGAAAAACAACTGATCAAGAAAATCAATCCAGGAGAGATAATTTAATTAATAATTTAATTGATAATTAATAATTTATTTATTAACATAATAAGTTAACATTTATTAACATTATTAACATTAAAAACATTTATTAATATTAACACTTAATAACATTCCATCACAATTATATACCACAACTTGTTCATTCATTCTCCCATTAATGGACATCCCATCAGTTTCCAGGTCTTTGCCAACACTATTAATTATTAATAATTAATAATTTAATTGATAATTTAATTAATGATTTAATTAATAATTAAATAAATTGGACTACCTGAAAGCAATGATCAAAAAAAAAGAGCCTAGACACCATCTTTCAAGAAATTATCAAGGAAAACTGCCCTGATATTCTAGAACCAGAGGGTAAAATAGAAATTGAAAGAATCCACTGATCAACTCCTGAAAGAGATCCCAAAATGAAAACAGCCAGAAATACTATAGCCAAATTCCAGAGCTCCCAGGTGAAGGAGAAAATATTGCAAGCAGCCAGAAAGAAACAATTCAAGTGTCATGGAGCCACATTCAAGATAACACAAGATTTAGCTACTCCTACATCAAAGGATCAGAGGGCTTGGAATGTGATATTCCAAAGGGAAAGGAGCTAGGGTTAATTAATGCACTGCTGCTGGAGTTGTGAACTGATTCAACCATTCTGTAGACCAGTTTGGAACTATACCCAAAGAACTGTAAAACCATACTCTTTGACCTAACAATACCACCACTAGGTCTATATCCCAAAAGAGATAAAAAGGAAAAAGACCTATAGGTACAAAAATATTTACAGGAGCTCATTTCTGAGAGCAAAGAATTAGAAATTGAGGGAATGCCCATCATTTGGGGAATGGTTGAACAAGTTGTGGTATGTGATTATGATGGAATACTACCGTACTATAAGAAATGTTGAGCAGGATGCTTTCAGAAAAACCTGGAAATCTGGCCTCAGATCAAACACTTGACACTTACTAGCTGTGTGACTCTGGGCAAGTCACTTAACCCCAATTGCCTAAAAATTAAAAAAAAATTAAAAAAAGAAAAATCTGGAAAGACTTGCGTGTACTGATGCAAAGTGAAATGTACTGTGTACAAAGTAACAGCAATATTGTAAGAGGATCAGCTATGAATGGCTTAGCTCTTCTCAACAATACAACAAACCAAGACAACTTTGAAGAACTTATGATGAAAAATGTTTTCCATCCCCAGAGAAAGAACTGATGGTGTCTGAATACAGATTGAAGCATACTTTTATTTTTAGCCAAAGGGCTATAAAACTGTGCATACCTTTTGACCCAGCAATACCACTACTAGATCTGTATCCCACAGAGATAAAGAACAAAAAGTAAAAGGACCTATGTGTACAAAAAATATTTGTAGTGGCTCTTTTCGTGGTGGCAAAGAATTGGAAATTGAGGGGATGCCCATCAATTGGAAAATGACTGAATGAGTTGTGGTATATGATTGTGACGGAATATTCTTGTGTTATTTTATACTCGGAAAAGCAGAGTGCTCTTGGAAAAACCTGAAAAAACTTACATGAACTTATTCAAAGTGAAATGAGCAGAACCAGGGAAACATTGTACACAGTAACAGCAATATCATGTAATGATTGGCTACAAGTGACTTAACTATTCTCAGCAATGCAATAATCCAAAACAATTCCAAAGGACTTATGATGAAAAATACTATCCACCTCCAGAGAAAGAAATGAGGGAGTCTGGCTGCAGATCGAAGCATACTTTTTAAAAACTTTTTAATTTTTCCTTTTTTGTTTTGTTTGTTTTTTTGGTCTGTTTTCTTTCACATAACTAATATGGAAATATATACTGCATGACTGCACATGTATAACTTCTATTGCATTATTTACTTTCTCAATGAGAGGGGAAGAAAAGGAGGGAGAGGATTTGGAACTCAAATTTTTAAAAAAAATGAATGTTTAAAATTGTTTTTATATGTAATTGGGAAAAAATAAAATATTAAATTTTAAAATTAAGTGGATGAAAGAGGATAGAAGAAAATTAAGAAGAAACACAGACAAGCAGCAGAATCATTTTGAAGGTAACATATGAATTTGTTATAAACATTTTTAATTGAGGGATTCAAAATGGCAAGTGATAGTTCCACATAGCATCCTTATTTGTGTTCTCCTGTGAGTGTGGACACACTCTTTTTTGATGTTTAAATTTAGCATAACTTTTTAAGGCACAAAACACTAGCAACAGATCAGCAACTCAGACAGGTTCTGGCTTTCACAGCACTGACATTTATCTCAATTCAATTCTTTTCAGTTTTCAATTTCTTTTCAATTCAGTTCAATACAGTTCTAGAAACTGATAAGCTATCTTGATACAATCTAGAACTTTTGGGAAACATTGCATATCAAACCATTTGAAACCAGTCCTTTCTTTTAGCCTCCACATGAATAAAAACCAGAATTGCCATAAGATATGCAGTGATGAGGAGCTGATAAATTCTCTGTGATTAGTAGGCTTACCTCCAGGCTACTCAAAACTGCTAGTTCTTTTCTTCTCTTTTTATTCTTCCAATCCCACATTTTATTCTTATGTGGCATAGTGGATAAAGTGTTGGCCCTGGAATCAGAAAGAACTGGGTCCACATACTTGCTGTATGACCTTGGAAAAGTCAATTACCCTCTTAGTGCCCTCAGAAAATTCTAGGACAGCAGGTTGGATAGAAAGTACCTATCTAAGTCAGTATAGAAAAACTTTCGATCGAGAACTTTATGCAGAGTTGGAATATGTGGGTTCAAATTCTGCTATCCACACCCTAGTTGTGCACACTTGGGTAAGTCACTGAACTACTCAGGGTCCAGGTGTCTGCATTTGTAAAATGAGGTTAGTAATACTTGCACTAGCTGCTTCAGAAATGTTGTGAGACTTGAAGGAAACAATGATTGTAAAATGCTTGGTAAGTCTTAACGTGCTAGAGAAAGTCATAGGATCACAGCTGGAACTGGATAGGAACTTGGAAGCCATTGAGGCCAAGGCTTCATTTGACATATGAGGAACTGAATCCTTAGGTAGGGCATGTGACTTTGCTAAGGTGACATAAGGAGTTGTCAGCAGAGCCTTGGATTCTGACTCCCGGTTCAGGTCCCTTCCCAGGATAGCAAGCTACCTCACTATGTGCACTGTTGA